GAGTCCTCTCCTGCTGATGTTCCGGTGTATATCAGTATGTAGTGTCTCTACTTTAAAGAGTCTCTCCTGCTGATGTTCAGGTGTATATCAGTATGTAGTGTCTTTACTTTAAAGAGTCCTCGACTGCTGATGTTCCGGTGTATATCAGTATGTAGTGTCTCTACTTTAAAGAGTCCTCTCCTGCTGATGTCCAGGTGTATATCAGTATGTAGTGTCTCTACTTTAAAGAGTCCTCTCCTGCTGATGTTCAGGTGTATATCAGTATGTAGTGCTTTACTTTAAAGAGTCCTCTCCTGCTGATGTTCAGGTGTATATCAGCATGTAGTGTCTCTACTTTAAAGAGTCCCTCTCCTGCTGATGTTCAGGTGTATATCAGTATGTAGTGTCTCTACTTTAAAGAGTCCTCTCCTGCTGATGTTCAGGTGATATCAGTATGTAGTGTCTCTACTTTAAAGAGTCCTCTCCTGCAGATGTTCAGGTATATCAGTATGTAGTGTCTCTACTTTAAAGAGTTCTCTCCTGCTGATGTTCAGGTGTATTCAGTATGTAGTGTCTCTACTTTAAAGAGTCCTCTCCTGCTGATGTTCAGGTGTATATCAGTATGTAGTGTCTCTACTTTAAAGAGTCCTTCCTGCTGATGTTCCGGTGTATATCAGTATGTAGTGTCTCTACTTTAAAGAGTCCTCTCCTGCTGATGTTCAGGTGTATATCAGTACGTAGTGTATCTACTTTAAAGAGTCCTCTCCTGCTGATGTTCAGGTGTATATCAGTATGTAGTGTCTCTACTTTAAAGAGTCCTCTCCTGCTGATGTTCCGGTGTATATCAGTATGTAGTGTCTCTACTTTAAAGAGTCCTCTCCTGCTGATGTTCAGGTGTATATCAGTATGTAAATAAACTGTTCTACTGAAGAAGACCCACCTGATTCTAAAAGAGACATGCTTTTCAATTTTTTTTATATTAATCAAATGTGTTTTTTGTTTTACAATTACCTAAATTATATTCAAATAATGTCTAAATTAAATATTGCACATGGCTGCAAGAGGTACCGTAGGGAATTTCTAAGTGTCTTTTGCACTATTATTTTTTAATTGCACATTGTCATTTTAATATCCCATTTATTTGTATTACTACTGCTTTATTACCACGTCCACTGCTCCTCTGTGTTTGCATTAAGCTAATGATTAGAAATCCTAAATCACAAGAGACACCGCAGGGAAGTTATTAAGGGTTTATTCCAAGTTATTTCCAACAACTACATCATTCCAAATATACGCTTATTTTTAATCTACTTTGAGAAAATAGGTGATCTGTCGGTCTCCATTATCCTTTTATATATCATTATAATTTGTGTTAATTTCATTTAAATAGTGATTTATGCTCTAACATTTCCCCCTGTGGATCAAATGATCACTTTTAGTTTATTCAATTGTCTTAAATGCAACTGTATATACGTTTGAGTGCTTCTTGGAGCTGGCATTGACCCTTTCTTTGTTTCCAGTACTACTTGAGGGCGGGTGCCGTGGTGCAGGAGGATCTTTCCGAGGCGTCTCTGATCATCGGGGTGAAACGACCCCCCGAGGAGAAAATTATCCCCAGGAAGACGTACGCTTTCTTCTCCCACACCATCAAAGCTCAGGAGGCCAACATGGGGCTGCTGGAGGACCTGCTGAGCAAGGTGAGGGTCTCCAAACATCCAGAAAAGGGCGTCCAAACATCCAGAAAAAGGCCTCTAAACATCCAGAAAAAGGGCCTCCAAACATCCAGAAAAAGGGCCTCTAAACATCCAGAAAAGGGCCTCCAAACATCCAGAAAAAGGCCTCTAAACATCCAGAAAAGGGGCCTCTAAACATCCAGAAAAGGGCCTCTAAACATCCAGAAAAGGGCCTCCAAACATCCAGAAAAGGGCCTCTAAACATCCAGAAAAGGGGCCTCTAAACATCCAGAAAAGGGGCCTCTAAACATCCAGAAAAGGGCCTCTAAACATCCAGAAAAGGGGTCTCTAAACATCCAGAAAAGGGGTCTCTAAACATCTAGAAAAGGGGCCTCTAAACATCTAGAAAAGGGGCCTCTAAACATCTAGAAAAGGGGCCTCTAAACATCTAGAAAAGGGGCCTCTAAACATCTAGAAAAGGGGCCTCTAAACATCCAGAAAAGGGGCCTCTAAACATCTAGAAAAGGGGCCTCTAAACATCTAGAAAAGGGGCCTCTAAACATCCAGAAAAGGGGCCTCTAAACATCTAGAAAAGGGGCCTCTAAACATCTAGAAAAGGGGCCTCTAAACATCTAGAAAAGGGGCCTCTAAACATCCAGAAAAGGGGTCTATGACTGCAGTAATTATAGAATTAGCTGACCTTTTTAAAGACACATTTGAAAGGCTATGGTCAATACAAAATGTAGAAGAAACAAGTAAATATTAGTTTTTTGGGATTAGTTGTTAATTTGTACTTTACAGTCCATCTTTTGGGGAGGTTTTGTACTACTTCTCTAAACTTTGTCACTTTTTCCTAGCCCTATATTACTGCTTTTATATATTCTACATACTAGATACTCTATTTCAGCTTTATGTCAAATTGTGGCACATGTAGTTTTAAACAGTGTATTTACTGTAATATGCTTCCAGTGTGGAGGCACTACATTAATGGAGAACTGTGCTTATTGGTCAGATATAATATATATGGTAAATCCGTTCCTGCACTCTAGTTTAATTGCTGGTACATTTAAAGTCAAGTTGATTTATTGAGCCCTAAACACACACTTTGTATATCAACATTACCTGCTTTGCAATAAATACTTAATTATCTATATCAGAAAAGATAGAACATAGACAGAAGTGTTCAAATAAAAATGTAACAGATAAGCCTTTAGTGGTTGAAACAATCTTATTTTCACTTTTAGCAGCTAGTTTCTGTTTGATTTAAGTTCCTGAAGCTCTCATCTGGGAAAATCATGATTTACGTAACTCCATTCCCTGGTTCCTCCTGACATTTAAAAGGGGCCTTATTTAAGCTAAATGTCAAGGTGTATATCAGTGTGTAGTGTCTCTACTTTAAAGAGTCCTCTCCTGCTGATGTTCAGGTGTATATCAGTGTGTAGTGTCTCTACTTTAAAGAGTCCTCTCCTGCTGATGTTCAGGTGTATATCAGTGTGTAGTGTCTCTACTTTAAAGAGTCCTCTCCTGCTGATGTTCAGGTGTATATCAGTGTGTAGTGTCCTCTACTTTAAAGAGTCCTCTCCTGCTGATGTTCAGGTTCATATCAGTATGTAGTGTCTCTACTTTAAAGAGTCCTCTCCTGCTGATGTTCAGGGTCACTATCAGTATGTAGTGTCTCTACTTTAAAGAGTCCTCTCCTGCTGATGTTCAGGTGTATATCAGTATGTAGTGTCTCTACTTTAAAGAGTCCTCTCCTGCTGATGTTCAGGTGTATATCAGTATGTAGTGTCTCTACTTTAAAGAGTCCTCTCCTGCTGATGTTCAGGTGTATACTCAGTATGTAGTGTCTCTACTTTAAAGAGTCCTCTCCTGCTGATGTTCAGGTGTATATCAGTATGTAGTGTCTCTACTTTAAAGAGTCCTCTCCTGCTGATGTTCAGGTATATATCAGTATGTAGTGTCTCTACTTTAAAGAGTCCTCTCCTGCTGATGTTCAGGTGTATATCAGTATGTAGTGTCTCTACTTTAAAGAGTCCTCTCCTGCTGATGTTCAGGTGTATATCAGTATGTAGTGTCTCTACTTTAAAGAGTCCTCTCCTGCTGATGTTCAGGTGTATATCAGTATGTAGTGTCTCTACTTTAAAGAGTCCTCTCCTGCTGATGTTCAGGTTGTATATCAGTATGTAGTGTCTCTACTTTTAAAGAGTCCTCTCCTGCTGATGTTCAGGTGTATATCAGTATGTAGTGTCTCTACTTTAAAGAGTCCTCTCCTGCTGATGTTCAGGTTCATATCAGTATGTAGTGTCTCTACTTTAAAGAGTCCTCTCCTGCTGATGTTCAGGTGTATATCAGTATGTAGTGTCTCTACTTTAAAGAGTCCTCTCCTGCTGATGTTCAGGTGTATATCAGTATGTAGTGTTCTCTACTTTAAAGAGTCCTCTCCTGCTGATGTTCAGGTGTATATCAGTATGTAGTGTCCTCTACTTTAAAGAGTCCTCTCCTGCTGATGTTCAGGTTCATATCAGTATGTAGTGTCTCTACTTTAAAGAGTCCTCTCCTGCTGATGTTCAGGTTCATATCAGTATGTAGTGTCTCTACTTTAAAGAGTCCTCTCCTGCTGATGTTCAGGTGTATATCAGTATGTAGTGTCTCTACTTTAAAGAGTCCTCTCCTGCTGATGTTCAGAGTGTATATCAGTATGTAGTGTCTCTACTTTAAAGAGTCCTCTCCTGCTGATGTTCAGGTGTATATCAGTATGTAGTGTCTCTACTTTAAAGAGTCCTCTCCTGCTGATGTTCAGGTGTATATCAGTATGTAGTGTCTCTACTTTAAAGAGTCCTCTCCTGCTGATGTTCAGGTGTATATCAGTATGCAGTGTCTCTACTTTAAAGAGTCCTCTCCTGCTGATGTTCAGGTGTATATCAGTATGTAGTGTCTCTACTTTAAAGAGTCCTCTCCTGCTGATGTTCAGGTGTATATCAGTATGTAGTGTCTCTACTTTAAAGAGTCCCCTTGTCTCAAAACGTATTCAGACACTTTAACGGCTGGTTTCTGCCAGATTCAGTTCCTGAAGCTCTCAGCAGAAGACATCTTGTCGGGGAAAATCACGTTTTGCGTAACTCCAAACCATTATCTTTTACAAACCATGTGTTTCCTCAGTTAAATGTCAAAACAATTAGCATACTGTGGAAAGCAGACTGTTACAGGGTATTCAAGGGTATCGAAATGTTGATGCAGGAATACATGAAGCAACACGAGTGAAGAATAACAGAGATTTAAAGTGTCAACAGGAGAGAGTTGAGAAAATGCAAATGTTGTGCACAATGGACCCTTTCCTATTGAGGTGCAGAACACAAATACACAGCAGTGGACCAATCACAGCTGAGTATGTTGATAATGAGCTCAATGCAAAGCCATAGATATAGATTTAATGAGCCAAATAACAGAGTAATGCTTTTATTACATGTTGAGTCTTTATAAGGGCTCAATCAAATGGTGAAAATGCTCGAAGCTGCATTCACAACGAATTAATTGTGTTAAGTGTCATATTATTATTATTAGTAGAATTACATCCTGGTGGTACCTTCGTTGTTTTAAACTTGTGTGATCCATATCTTTAATGACTCCAGAGCGTTTTGCAGTCCAACAGTCAACATTTATTGAAAAATACTTCTTTTCTGAAATTCAATGCAGGCTTTTATCTAAAGAACTGACCTTGCTTTAATCCAATGTTGGCGTTTATCCTTTTTAACAACATCCCTTTTCCCTGTAGTCAAAAACAGTTTTAAAGTGGCTCTAAAGGCCCTGACACACCTACCCGATTTTGGGAGTCAGAGGCAGTCGGGCATTCGCGGCGCCCTACGGCGTTGGTGTGTCCCGCACCGTCGTTGCTTTACGGCACATTTTCACACCTCCCGCGGCAAGAAGAAAGTCGGCCAAATAAATCACTCTGATTGGTTGTTGCCTCTTTTGAATGACGAATACACACTACCGCTGCCTGCTGGTAAGGACAGTTATTGCCACTCGTCGACTGAAGTCTTTACGGTGTGTTCGTTGTAGGGATCGGAATTTGAAAGCAAATGTATATTCGACTATTCGACCCCCCAAAAAACGGTTAACCGGTTAACCGAAATGTACATATCCTATAAAAAAAAAAAAATCTAATATTTTTTTTTAAAACATTTTTTCAATAACTTTTGGAAATAAATAAATACATGTTCAAATAAATATAGAAATCAAGTCGAATTTGTCAAATGTATTGAACTGGTGATCACAGTTTGACAGCTATAGGCCTACAGCTTTCATGCTTAAAACATCAAAAACCTATAACAGGGCCTAAGCACAGAATGCAGCTATTCAATAGGCTACTGATTCTTGTTTAAAAATATGAGCATGTCTACATGCTCGGGAGATGCGGGTGTGGAGGCGATTCACAATCAGGCCAGCTGTAGAGAAGACCCTCTCAGCTGGAACGGAGGTTGCGGGTATAGCAAGGTATAGCATGTATATATAAGTTTAATTTGGCATAGTTTGCACTCTACACCGCACTCACCAACCTGGTCAAAATATTTCCACACATTACTCCTTTTTGACGCCATGTCTGTTGTGTAGGACTCTTCTTAGAGTGTAAATAATTACTGGAGTATGACTGGTCAAATATGTTGAATACCGGCAAAACTTAAATCTCTCCAGTCAAAAATGTCTATGCACTTTGCCGCCACACACGGTTGCCAAGCAGCGAGTGTTGACAGGGGGCGGGGGAGCACGCTCATGAACTGTTAGCGCCGAAACCTCGCTACGGCTGCGGAGCGCATTTGCGCCGCATTTGGGCCTAAGATGAGGTTTGAGTCTGCGTGATCTGCGTGTAGGGAGGGGCAGCAACCATATCATTAGCTAGAACTAGATCTGATGGATTTGGACATAAACGCGAGTGAAGTATAACCGGACGCGAGAGAGAGAGAGATCAGCACCTGCAGCTCTGCCCGCTGTGAGGGACCGGTGAGCGGAGCAAAACACACCTTTAGACCTAACACACTTAGCTATGGCACTGTCGTATACATTGAATTATTCTATTTGATGATATGTAATCAACGCCCAAAAAAAAATTCACTATTCGAATACCTGAATAATTTCGAATATTCGATTAATCATTCCCATCCCTAGTTCGTAGGCAGGCGTCGTAGCGGACGTAAAAGTCGGGACGCCTTCGGTACGCGTTCTTTGGTCTCAGCTTGGTATGTAGCGGCCTTAACACTAATGGAATACATAACTAAAGTCGTATTAAAATAAACTTAATTACGTTTCTGCGCTCACTTTGCCCTCCATCAAGACGTCTCTACAAGTCAATGAAACCGCCAGTTTGGAGGCATTCATTTGTTCAATCACTTGAATTAAACGGAGGATTGGGTTCTTCTTTTAACGTGATGAAAATATGACGATGACCAGGGTTTTGCGCCCTCTTACTCTCGGCGTGCGCCCTCATACCAAAATGCAGATTTTCCCCGTAAAAAGTGATGCCAGAAAACAATATTTCTGTTCCTCCAAAACGGTATAATTACTCCAGAAATATGAGAGCGTCAGACGGCAGAGACCGCTTTGTTTTTACGGAGCTCCGGACGTCACGTTGTTGTTTACGTCCGTGGAGACATCTTGTTTACGGACCTCGTGTTCTCGAGATAATTTATACATCTTATAAACGAGATCAGGGTCACACTACTCATACTATAGCTTTCTAGAAACACCCCTGAGCTTTATTCGAACATCTCAACAAAAGCTTTGAATGTGGGATTTAAAAAAGCGTCTGCTTCTGTCTTTAGAATAATTGTCGTGGCTTCCTTCCTTGTTTTTTCTATCAAGCCTTAAACTGACATTTTTAACTCGTTTTCTTCCTTTATATTACTTACAGTTGAAGAGTTGCTTGGCCTCCGATGGTTTGGATGATGTTATGCGATGTGTTTGCTCAAAATAAAATAACTTGTACACACGCAACAAAGAAAAGAGGCCTTTACAATATTCAAAACTAAGAGGCAGAACTCAAATAAAATAACAAACAACTTAGGTGTTATTTCTTTCTTGATAATGCTTATACAACTTAAAGGGTTTGGACGGTTAAAAACTGTTCCTCGACGGCGTCTTTCTAGCAGGTTGCCCATCACTGTCACTTTAGAGGAGGCACCGTGGGAATTGTAGTCTTTTATACTCTGGTTGACTACAGATTAGTTGGCCTTTCTTATAAAACTAAATACTGGCTCTAACAATAATGTGCGATAGCTTTTTTTACTGATACCGAAAATGCCGATATTGTTGTTTATCTCTGTCTCTCCTTCTCCAAAAACTCAAAACGTTGTCTTCTCAGGAGGTTCGTCTGATCGACTACGAGAAGATGGTCGATGCTAACGGTTTCCGGATCGTAGCGTTCGGTCAGTGGGCCGGCGTGGCAGGTATGAATATATTTAATTTCCTATATTGATTTCTTGTTGTGAAAGAGTTTTGGCAGAAGCAGCTGTTGTTGAAACTAACGCTGTAGATACAATCAGTACCTGAATATGTTGAACCAGCTGAGACGTGTTCTCTGTTTTAAGATTTCTACTGGAATCCACTTGAATTATTCAGACATTAATCGACGACTAACTGCTGAATCAAAAACACCTTTTTCTTCTTCTTGCTCAGCTTTGACCTGTTAAGAATAAAAGTTAAAAACAAATTCAAGTAGAACATTTTTCTAAAATGCTACATTTCCAGCCACACATTCTTGTATCTTGATATTCACTTTGAGTTGGGAAACATTGTAAATACAGCTGAACACAGTGTGGTGAAAAAGCAACTGGATCATATTGAGAGGTGATATCTCCTAGTTGTGATTATTGCAGTTTTGTTAGACCTCATTATCACACACAGTGGGTTGAGGCGTGTGGCGTGTTCGGATCAGGGGGTCACAGGTTCAAACCCCACTGCAGTCAGCATGTCGTTGTGTCCATGAGACACTTCACCCCACATTGCTCCTGTGGGGATTGCCCACAGTATTGAGTATGTTAGTCGCTTTGGATAAAAGCGACTAACAGGTGACACGTGATGTCATGTCATGTAAAAGACACTCTTAACGAGGCCATTTGTGGACAAGAAAACAGAAAGCAATTCAAAGGCTTTATTGTCACATGCACAATAGCTTATGTGTGGTTGTTGGCCATACAAACCTTACAATGCAACACAATATGCTTAATAAAAAATGTAAAAACACATCAAATGGTGCAGTAGACAAAGCTTATAGTACACGAAAGATGCAGGAATAAGAGAAATATAAACATAGGAGTTTACAAATAATTAAAAAAACTCATCTAATTGATGTATTAATAACTCACCCCGTGTTACTCTGGAAGACACTTTGTTTTTCTCACATGCCTCAAAGGTGTGAAAAACCTTGATCCATTGAAGTAAACGGAGACTGTTTTGTATTGAGTTTTTTTGTCACCGTGGAGGCATGCAAGAAAAACAAGTTTCAAGGTCATGCAGGGTGGTTCACTCCACTAAAGAATATTGTTTTTGTGAGTGAAGTATTCCTCAAACGAGTCAAACATCGGCATGCTGCAAGAAATGGAATTATGGTTAATTTGTATTTCCATACATCCAGGGAATATGTTCCTAAATGAAGGTCAAAGCGGGTAGTATTTAATCAGTATGAATCTGTGTTTCCTTGTAGGAATGATAAACATTTTGCACGGTTTGGGGCTTCGTTTCCTGGCTCTCGGGCACCACACTCCCTTCCTGGTAAGAAAACAGTCATCAGGGACTTAAAGGTCACCTATTGTGCAAAATCCTCTTCTTCATGTCTCTTCTACATCAACATGTGTCCCCTCTTCTTCATGTCTCTTCTACATCAACATGTGTCCCCTCTTCTTCATGTCTCTTCTACATCAACATGTGTCCCCTCTTCTTCATGTCTCTTCTACATCAACATGTGTCCCCTCTTCTTCATGTCTCTTCTACATCAACATGTGTCCCCTCTTCTTCATGTCTCTTCTACATCAAACATGTGTCCCCTCTTCTCCAGTCTCTTCTACATCAACATGTGTCCCCTCTTCTTCATGTCTCTTCTACATCAACATGTGTCCCCCTCTTCTTCATGTCTCTTCTACATCAACATGTGTCCCCTCTTTTTCATGTCTCTTCTACATCAACATGTGTCCCCTCTTCTTCATGTCTCTTCTACATCAACATGTGTCCCCTCTTCTTCATGTCTCTTCTACATCAACATGTTGTCCCCTCTTCTTCATGTCTCTTCTACATCAACATGTGTCCCCTCTTCTTCATGTCTCTTCTACATCAACATGTGTCCCCTCTTCTTCATGTCTCTTCTACATCAACATGTGTCCCCTCTTCTTCATGTCTCTTCTACATCAACATGTGTCCCCTCTTCTTCATGTCTCTTCTACATCAACATGTGTCCCCTCTTCTTCATGTCTCTTCTACATCAACATGTGTCCCCTCTTCTTCATGTCTCTTCTAAATCAACATGTGTCTCCTCTTCTTCATGTCTCTTCTACATCAACATGTGTCCCCCTTCTTCTTCATGTCTCTTCTACATCAAACATGTGTCCCCTCTTTTTCATGTCTCTTCTACATCAACATGTGTCCCCTCTTCTTCATGTCTCTTCTACATCAACATGTGTCCCCTCTTCTTCATGTCTCTTCTACATCAACATGTGTCCCCTCTTCTTCATGTCTCTTCTACATCAACATGTGTCCCCTCTTCTTCATGTCTCTTCTACATCAACATGTGTCCCCTCTTCTTCATGTCTCTTCTACATCAACATGTGTCCCCTCTTCTTCATGTCTCTTCTACATCAACATGTGTCCCCTCTTCTTCATGTCTCTTCTACATCAACATGTGTCCCCTCTTCTCCATGTCTCTTCTACATCAACATGTGTCCCCTCTTCTTCATGTCTCTTCTACATCAACATGTGTCTCCTCTTCTTCACGTCTCTTCTACATCAACATGTGTCCCCTCTTCTTCACGTCTCTTCTACATCAACATGTGTCCCCTCTTCTCCACGTCTCTTCTACATCAACATGTGTCCCCTCTTCTTCACGTCTCTTTTACATCAACATGTGTCCCCTCTTCTTCATGTCTCTTCTACATCAACATGTGTCCCCTCTTCTTCACGTCTCTTCTACATCAACATGTGTCCCCTCTTCTTCATGTCTCTTCTACATCAACACGTGTCCCCTCTTCTTCATGTCTCTTCTACATCAACATGTGTCCCCTCTCTGGAAAGAGACTCTGAAAGTTTCAGGAACAAAGATTCTCTCTCTTTTTGATCCATTTCTATAAAAACCTGTCTGAAAATGAGCTGATCAGATTTTGGCCACTTTGTCATAACGATGTTTTGTCTTGTGTAACCACTAGCCAATCAGCAACCAAGGTAACCCCCCCCCCCCCCCCTTATCACCTGAATCTCCTCCTAGAGCACCATTGAGTTCTTTGTAACCAAATGTCTCTCAGAGGGGCGTGGGGAGGGGCTCGTTATTTTCATCTAAAGTAACAGACAGAGAATCAGCACTTTGGAAACAGGGCTGAAACAGAGGGGATTATGGGTAATGCTGCAATGATCTGTTTGGTGTTTCAGCCAATCAGAGACAGGCTCTGGATGTATCTGAGAGCTGTGATATATTGATGAAGAAGAGGATGATGGTAGGGGACCTTTAAAATCACCTCCCGTCTCTGTTCTCCTTCCACAGCACATCGGCATGGCTCATAACTACAGGAGCGTCAGCCAGGCCATTCAGGCAGTGAGGGATTGTGGGTATGAGATCTCCATGGGGCTCATGCCCAAATCCATCGGGCCCGTCACGTTTTGTTTCACCGGAACCGGAAACGTCTCTAAGGTACAGCAAGGTTTAATTTAACACACACAAAAAAACAATTGAAAAAAGTACAACAGTCAAAAGAATACGATTTTTTTTTTTTTTTTTTTTTTTTTTTTTTTTTTTGACAAACGTGATTATTGCCGTTTTTGTTTCCAGTCAAAGACTATACACACATGTTTAACCCCCCCAACCATATAAGAAATACTATGAAATGTTTAAAAAGGGAAAACATAAAGAAATCTGTGATCAAAGATATGTACAAAATGTTTTAATTAGGGCCGGGACTTTAACGCGTTAATTAAGATTAATTAATTACACAAAAATTAACGCGTTAAAAAAATTAACGCATTTTAATCGCACGTATTTTTGCACCGCGGAACGTTTCTCACTGGATGAGTTTCAGGCGTACCGATTATACTGGAGCACCAACTAACGTTCATGACTTCAGACAACAACAAACCACAGTGAACAACAGTGGGAAATGTTGTTTTAAAAAACGGACGGATGGAAGCGTCGATAAGAGTACGGTTGTGTGCAAATTATGCAAAAAGGAATTCGCATATCACCGCAGCACATCAAGCCTCAAGTATCACCTCAATGCAAAACATATAGCAGCTAGCGTGGAAGCTAGCGTGGACGTTAGCCTCTTTTATCGTGTTCACACCAAAAAGAGCCGGTACTAAAATTAGTTAATGAGAACCTTTTTACCCCCACGAAAGTCCCTGCTAGAGAGCAGAGAGCTGCTAGAGAGCAGGGACTTTCGTGCGGCTCTCTTGTGAGAAAATAGCTATATGTCTGATTGGCTGGGCGGATTGCAAACCACGCCCCGTAAAACTCCCAAAAAGTTTTGTGAAGCCGCCATTTTATTATCCTCGCATTAGCATTATTAGCATTAGCCCGGCGCAGAAATGCAGAGAGACTAACTTATGGCAACACAAAATAAAACATGGAAGCGGTGGAGATGAGGAGGTGTCGGCGTTCTGGCAATTTACTCGGAAGGCTTCTCACTGTTCTCAGGTCAAATATGTATATGTGATTAAAAATGCGATTAATTTCGATTAATTAATTACAAAGCCTCTAATTAATTAGATTAATTTTTTTAATCGAGTCCCGGCCCTAGTTTTAATTAATGTGAAATGATCAAAAAGTCTTAACAATAAATTGCAAAGCTTGTTTACAAGAAGCTTAATACTATCCAATCATATGTAGCATTTTGTTTAAGTATTAATTCGACATGGTCCCAACTCGTTCCTTTTCCAAAAATGTAGGAATTTCTGCCATATTTTATAGAAGATTTCACAATTTTCTTTTATAGCATAGCTTAATTTCTCTAAGGCCAGACAATGAGGTTTGTAGCCACTGAATAATCAAGGGTTCTCAAATGAAGAGCAATCAAGAGTTTTTCCAGAATACAGATATTCTTTTTTTTGCTTAAATAAGAGAAATAACAATTAGTTTTTTCTTGATGTTTATAAGTCTTGGAATCACCAAGAAAACAGAGTTCTTGGTTCTTTGCTTTCCAAAAGTCTTTGATAATTGGGCAGTCCCAACGGTATCAGTGAGATATTTGATATCCTCATCTCTTTCTTTTAGGGAGCCCAGGACATCCTTAACGAGCTTCCTGTTGAATACGTTGAGCCTCACGAGTTGAAGGACGTCTCGGAAATTGGAGGTAAGACGTTCCTGCGCTTCTCTTTGTCGTAAGGCTGGTAAAACGTAAGCAGAGGAAGTCTCAGGACTGAATAGTGTCTCCTTTGATGATTTAGCGTAACTTAAACTGACGGTGTTTACCTCCTTTCCGTCTTCTTCTGCTGTTCCCTTTAGTGTTTACTTCCTGTCTGTCTTCTTCTGCTGTTCCCTTTAGTGTTTACTTCCTGTCTTCTTCTGCTGTTCCCTTTAGTGTTTACTTCCTGTCTGTCTTCTTCTGCTGTTCCCTGTAGTGTTGACGTCCTGTCTGTCTTCTTCTGCTGTTCCCGTTGGTGTTTACTTCCTGTCTGTCTTCTTCCGCTGTTCCCTTTGGTCTTTACTTCCTGTCTGTCTTCTTCTGCTGTTCCCTTTAGTGTTTACTTCCTGTCTGTCTTCTTCTGCTGTTCCCTTTAGTGTTTATTTCCTCTCTGTCTTCTTCTGCTGTTCCCTTTAGTGTTTACTTCCTGTCTGTCTTCTTCTGCTGTTCCCTTTAGTGTTTACTTCCTATCTGTCTTCTTCTGCTGTTCCCTGTAGTGTTGACGTCCTGTCTGTCTTCTTCTGCTGTTCCCGTTGGTGTTTACTTCCTGTCTGTCTTCTTCCGCTGTTCCCTTTGGTCTTTACTTCCTGTCTGTCTTCTTCTGCTGTTCCCTTTAGTGTTGACTTCCTGTATGTCTTCCTCCGCTGTTCCCTTTAGTCTTTACTTCCTGTCTGTCTTCCTCCGCTGTTCCCTTTAGTGTTGACTTCCTGTATGTCTTCCTCCGCTGTTCCCTTTAGTCTTTACTTCCTGTCTGTCTTCCTCCGCTGTTCCCTTTAGTGTTGACTTCCTGTCTGTCTTCCTCCGCTGTTCCCTTTAGTCTTTACTTCCTGTCTGTCTTCCTCCGCTGTTCCCTTTAGTGTTGACTTCCTGTCTGTCTTCCTCCGCTGTTCCCTTTAGTCTTTACTTCTTGTCTGTCTTCCTCCGCTGTTCCCTTTAGTGTTTACTTCCTGTCTGTCTTCCTCCGCTGTTCCCTTTAGTCTTTACTTCCTGTCTGTCTTCCTCCGTTGTTCCCTTTAGTGTTTATTTCCTGTCTGTCTTCCTCCGCTGTTCCCTTTAGTCTTTACTTCCTGTCTGTCTTCCTCCGTTGTTCCCTTTAGTGTTTATTTCCTGTCTGTCTTCCTCCGCTGTTCCCTTTAGTCTTTACTTCCTGTCTGTCTTCCTCCGTTGTTCCCTTTAGTGTTTATTTCCTGTCTGTCTTCCTCTGCTGTTCCCTTTAGTCTTTATTTCCTGTCTGTCTTCCTCTGCTGTTCCCTTTAGTCTTTACTTCCTGTCTGTCTTCCTCTGCTGTTCCCTTTAGTCTTTACTTCCTGTCTGTCTTCCTCCGTTGTTCCCTTTAGTGTTTATTTCCTGTCTGTCTTCCTCTGCTGTTCCCTTTAGTCTTTACTTCCTGTCTGTCTTCCTCTGCTGTTCCCTTTAGTCTTTACTTCCTGTCTTCCTCTGCTGTTCCCTTTAGTGTTGACTGGAGACAGTTTAGCCATCGTGAATCCGAAGTTTTTCCACAAATATAAAAATGAATATTCCCAAAGTTTTCCACAGTATTTTTTCCCTCAGCTAAAAGCCAATGTATTTACTCAAACTGATATATTCCTGCACTTCAACTTTATCTGCATATTGAAGTATGAATGCTTGTTGTTTGTATGTTGTCTCCTCCTTAATGTTGTACGTCTCTTGTTTGTTTTTTTGATGGCACTAAAAAAGGAGTATCTCTACTCATCTCATTGTACCTGTATAATGAAAATAAAGGATTCTATTCAATGGGATTTTCCCCCTTGTTTTCCGGTCAGAAATGTCCCGAGTGTACGCCACCGTGCTGAGTCGCCATCACCACCTGATGAGGAAGAGCGACGGCTTATACGACCCCATGGAGTACGAGGACCACCCGGAGCTTTACACCTCGCACTTCAGGACCAGCGTAAGTCTCCCCCTTAAACAGAGGTGGGAAGTAGTGGAGTACAAATACTTTGTTACTGTACTTAAGTACATTTTTCTGGTATCAGTACTTTACTCCACTACTTATTTTTCTGACGACTTTTTACTTTGACTTCTTACATTTTGAACCCAAATACCTGAACTTTCTATTTCTTACACGTTGAACACAAATACCTGTACTTTCTACTTCTTACATGTTGAACACAAATACCTGTACTTTCTACTTCTTACATGTTGAACACAAATACCTGTACTTTCTACTTCTTACATGTTGAACACAAATATCTGTACTTTCTACTTCTTACATGTTGAACTCAAATACCTGAACTTTCTACATCTTACATGTTGAACTCAAATACCTGTACTTTCTACTTCTTACATGTTGAACTCAAATACCTGTACTTTCTACTTCTTACATGTTGAACTCAAATACCTGTACTTTCTACTTCTTACATGTTGAACTCAAATACCTGTACTTTCTACTTCTTACATGTTGAACACAAATACCTGTACTTTCTACTTCTTACATTTAGAACACAAATACCTGTACTTTCTACTTCTTACATTTAGAACTCAAATACCTGTACTTTCTACTTCTTACATTTAGAACTCAAATACCTGTACTTTCTACTTCTCACATGTTGAACACAAATACCTCTACTTTCTACTTCTTACATGTTGAACACAAATACCTGTACTTTCTACTTCTCACATGTTGAACTCAAATACCTCTACTTTCTACTTCTTACATATTGAACTCAAATACCTGTACTTTCTACTTCTTACATGTTGAACTCAAATACCTGTACTTTCTACTTCTCACATGTTGAACTCAAATACCTCTACTTTCTACTTCTTACATGTTGAACACAAATACCTGTACTTTCTACTTCTTACATGTTGAACACAAATACCTGTACTTTCTACTTCTTACATTTAGAACACAAATACCTGTACTTTCTACTTCTTACATGTTGAACTCAAATACCTGTACTTTCTACTTCTCACATGTTGAACACAAATACCTGTACTTTCTACTTCTTACATTTAGAACACAAATACCTGTACTTTCTACTTCTTACATGTTGAACACAAATACCTGTACTTTCTACTTCTTACATGTTGAACACAAATACCTGTACTTTCTACTTCTTACATGTAGAACTCAAATACCTGTACTTTCTACTTCTTACATGTTGAACTCAAATACCTGTACTTTCTATTTCTTACATGTTGAACACAAATACCTGTACTTTCTACTTCTTACATGTTGAACTCAAATACCTGTACTTTCTATTTCTTACATGTTGAACACAAATATCTGTACTTTCTACTTCTTACATGTTGAACTCAAATACCTGTACTTTCTACTTCTTACATGTTGAACTCAAATACCTGTACTTTCTATTTCTTACATGTTGAACACAAATACCTGTACTTTCTACTTCTTACATTTAGAACACAAATACCTGTACTTTCTACTTCTTACATTTAGAACTCAAATACCTGTACTTTCTACTTCTTACATGTTGAACACAAATACCTGTACTTTCTACTTCTTACATTTAGAACACAAATACCTGTACTTTCTACTTCTTACATTTAGAACTCAAATACCTGTACTTTCTACTTCTTACATGTTGAACCCAAATACCTGTACTTTCTACTTCTTACATGTTGAACACAAATACCTGTACTTTCTACTTCTTACATTTAAAACTCAAATACCTGTACTTTCTACTTCTTACATTTAGAACTCAAATACCTGTACTTTCTACTTCTTACATTTAGAACACAAATACCTGTACTTTCTACTTCTTACATTTAGAACTCAAATACCTGTACTTTCTACTTCTTACATGTTGAACCCAAATACCTGTACTTTCTACTTCTTACATGTTGAACACAAATACCTGTACTTTCTACTTCTTACATTTAAAACTCAAATACCTGTACTTTCTACTTCTTACATGTTGAACACAAATACCTGTACTTTCTACTTCTTACATTTAGAACACAAATACCTGTACTTTCTACTTCTTACATGTTGAACTCAAATACCTGTACTTTCTACTTCTTACATGTTGAACCCAAATACCTGTACTTTCTACTTCTTACATGTTGAACCCAAATACCTGTACTTTCTACTTCTTACATGTTGAACTCAAATACTTGTACTTTCTACTTCTTACATGTTGAACTCAAATACCTGTACTTTCTACTTCTTACATGTTGAACACAAATACCTGTACTTTCTACTTCTTACATGTTGAACACAAATACCTGTACTTTCTACTTCTTACATGTTGAACTCAAATACCTGTACTTTCTACTTCTTACATGTTGAACACAAATACCTGTACTTTCTACTTCTTACATGTTGAACACAAATACCTGTACTTTCTACTTCTTACATTTAGAACACAAATACCTGTACTTTCTACTTCTTACATGTTGAACACAAATACCTGTACTTTCTACTTCTTACATGTTGAACTCAAATACCTGTACTTTCTACTTCTTACATGTTGAACACAAATACCTGTACTTTCTACTTCTTACATTTAGAACACAAATACCTGTACTTTCTACTTCTTACATTTAGAACTCAAATACCTGTACTTTCTACTTCTTACATGTTGAACACAAATACCTGTACTTTCTACTTCTTACATTTAGAACACAAATACCTGTACTTTCTACTTCTTACATGTTGAACTCAAATACCTGTACTTTCTACTTCTTACATTTAGAACTCAAATAGCTGTACTTTCTACTTCTTACATTTAGAACTCAAATACCTGTACTTTCTACTTCTTACATGTTGAACTCAAATACCTGTACTTTCTACTTCTCACATGTTGAACTCAAATACCTGAACTTTCTACTTCTCACATGTTGAACACAAATACCTGTACTTTCTACTTCTCACATGTTGAACACAAATACCTGTACTTTCTACTTCTCACATGTTGAACTCAAATACCTGTACTTTCTACTTCTTACATGTTGAACTCAAATACCTGTACTTTCTACTTCTTACATGTTGAACTCAAATAACTGTACTTTCTACTTCTTACATGTTGAACTCAAATACCTGTACTTTCTACTTCTCACATGTTGAACTCAAATACCTGTACTTTCTACTTCTTACATGTTGAACTCAAATACCTGTACTTTCTACTTCTTACATGTTGAACTCAAATACCTGTACTTTCTACTTCTTACATGTTGAACCCAAATACCTGTACTTTCTACTTCTCACATGTTGAACACAAATACCTGTACTTTCTACTTCTCACATGTTGAACACAAATACCTGTACTTTCTACTTCTTACATGTTGAACACAAATACCTGTACTTTCTACTTCTCACATGTTGAACTACAAATACCTGTACTTTCTACTTCTTACATGTTGAACACAAATACCTGTACTTTCTACTTCTTACATGTTGAACACAAATACCTGTACTTTCTACTTCTCACATGTTGAACACAAATACCTGTACTTTCTACTTCTTACATGTTGAACTCAAATACCTGTACTTTCTACTTCTTACATGTTGAACTCAAATACCTGTACTTTCTACTTCTCACATGTTGAACACAAATACCTGTACTTTCTACTTCTTACATGTTGAACACAAATACCTGTACTTTCTACTTCTCACATGTTGAACACAAATACCTGTACTTTCTACTTCTCACATGTTGAACACAAATACCTGTACTTTCTACTTCTTACATGTTGAACACAAATACCTGTACTTTCTACTTCTCACATGTTGAACACAAATACCTGTACTTTCTACTTCTTACATGTTGAACTCAAATACCTGTACTTTCTACTTCTCACATGTTGAACTCAAATACCTGTACTTTCTACTTCTTACATGTTGAACACAAATACCTGTACTTTCTACTTCTTACATGTTGAACTCAAATACCTGAACTTTCTACTTCTTACATGTTGAACTCAAATACCTGAACTTTCTACTTCTTACATGTTGAACTCAAATACCTGTACTTTCTACTTCTTACATGTTGAACACAAATACCTGTACTTTCTACTTCTCACATGTTGAACTCAAATACCTGTACTTTCTACTTCTTACATGTTGAACACAAATACCTGTACTTTCTACTTCTCACATGTTGAACTCAAATACCTGTACTTTCTACTTCTTACATGTTGAACTCAAATACCTGAACTTTCTACTTCTTACATGTTGAACTCAAATACCTGTACTTTCTACTTCTTACATGTTGAACACAAATACCTGTACTTTCTACTTCTCACATGTTGAACTCAAATACCTGTACTTTCTACTTCTTACATGTTGAACCCAAATACCTGTACTTTCTACTTCTTACATGTTGAACACAAATACCTGTACTTTCTACTTCTCACATGTTGAACTCAAATACCTGTACTTTCTACTTCTTACATGTTGAACACTAATACCTGTACTTTCTACTTCTTACATGTTGAACACAAATACCTGTACTTTCTACTTCTCACATGTTGAACTCAAATACCTGTACTTTCTACTTCTCACATGTTGAACTCAAATACCTGTACTTTCTACTTCTTACATGTTGAACACAAATACCTGTACTTTCTACTTCTCACATGTTGAACTCAAATACCTGTACTTTCTACTTCTTACATGTTGAACACAAATACCTGTACTTTCTACTTCTCACATGTTGAACTCAAATACCTGTACTTTCTACTTCTCACATGTTGAACTCAAATACCTGTACTTTCTACTTCTCACATGTTGAACTCAAATACCTGTACTTTCTACTTCTTACATGTTGAACTCAAATACCTGAACTTTCTACTTCTTACATGTTGAACTCAAATACCTGAACTTTCTACTTCTTACATGTTGAACTCAAATACCTGTACTTTCTACTTCTTACATGTTGAACTCAAATACCTGTACTTTCTACGTCTTACATGTTGAACTCAAATACCTGTACTTTCTACTTCTTACATGTTGAATTCAAATACCTGTACTTTCTACTTCTTACATGTTGAACCCAAATACCTGTACTTTCTACTTCTCACACGTTGAACTCAAATACCTGTACTTTCTACTTCTTACATGTTGAACACAAATACCTGTACTTTCTACTTCTTACATTTAGAACTCAAATACCTGTACTTTCTACTTCTTACATGTTGAACTCAAATACCTGTACTTTCTACTTCTCACATGTTGAACACAAATACCTGTACTTCTACTTCTTACATGTTGAACCCAAATACCTGTACTTTCTACTTCTCACATGTTGAACACAAATACCTGTACTTTCTACTTCTTACATGTTGAACACAAATACCTGTACTTTCTACTTCTCACATGTTGAACTCAAATACCTGTACTTTCTACTTCTTACATGTTGAACACAAATACCTGTACTTTCTACTTCTTACATGTTGAACTCAAATACCTGAACTTTCTACTTCTTACATGTTGAACCCAAATACCTGTACTTTCTACTTCTTACATGTTGAACTCAAATACCTGTACTTTCTACTTCTTACATGTTGAACTCAAATACCTGTACTTTCTACTTCTCTCATTTCCCAAACAGCTGGTTCCTTTAGTCTGAATGTGTGTTTGATGCGTGATCATTATTCTTTAGAGTCATTGCGTGCCTATTGATTTGAACACGATCCGTGTATCCATCATTTCCTGGTCTTCTCTAAAGAAGAGGGACCAATGGAAACGTTGTCATGTTGCCGTTGTTCAGCATGGAAACATTCATTAGCTAACAATGACATTATTGTTCTATTAATATAAAGGGAGGTCAGGTACTCTTTAAAACAGCTGCTAGCTATGGGTACTTTTTGCTGAAGTACATTTCAAAGCCTCTTTACTTTCACTTGAGTAAAGAAGTTTAGTCAGTACTTTTACCAGAGTATTTTTAAACACGAATATCTGTACTTCTTCTTGAGTAAAGGATGTGTACTTTTGTCCTCTCTGCCAATGGATGTATAATAAGAACTCGTTCTTTCCCACGAGAGCTGCTCATTGGCGCATGAGGACAAAATGGCCTGATATTTTCGAGAGCAAAACATCACAGATTACCCATCATGCCTTGCTCTCAGAGCAGAAGTACCCGTGTGTAGCTAATAGAGCGCAGTAGTTGCCCCTCAAGCCCCGCCCCCGATCTCCCGCTGTTCAGTAGAATAAATGGAGAGAAATTCAATCTGGATTCGGCTTTTAGTGCATTTTACAACTTTAAGGACCTAATGATTCTAATAAAGGCTATAAAAGTGTTCGTGCTGGGGTATTTTTGTAACTATGGCACAACAATTTCCTTCGGGATAAATAAAGTCTTATCTTATCTTAGTTTATTGAGTTAAAAAGAAAATTATCCACTGATTTACAGACGTCACTTTCCCAATGTTAGTCAATGGGAAAAAGTGTTTCTGGGCCCAGTGACGTCACGGACCGATACAGAAACTGTAGTACCGCCGTTTGGTCACTAGGAATATTTTCCTCAGAGTCCGGAGCACTTCCTGGGGGCTTGGTCTCCCCCTTTCATCCCTTTTTAGTTACAACACCCCCCCCCCCCCCACCTGCTGCCGTCCCTCCCCCTCCTCTATTTCAGTCCAAACAGCTGCTACCCGGCTCACTGTGTGTTTACTGTTACAGAACAAACCACACGTGGCAGGGTTTCTCAGAGCTGTGACCTCATTTCACTTTGTGTTGACTTTCATCACATGCGGGCCTTACCTTAAAGAGAGGGAATTTATTATGTCCATCTGATCAATAAAGGGGGCAGGAAGTTAGCATTTAAGTTTCTTCCCTTTTTGTGTCGCAATTAATTGTGCGTTAAGATTCAAAGGTTTTAGTGTCATATGCACAAAGCTACAGTGTAGAAATGGCAATTAAATTCTAGTGCGCTGATCAGGGGGATCAGGGGGGCACTGGTTCAATCCCCCTGCCGTCAGCATGCGGCTGTGTCCTTGGGCAAGGCACATCACTGCTCCTGTGGGGAATGCAAGTCGCTCTAACTCTAAAAATCGTCTAACAAGTAATATGTAACAATAATAATGTAATGTCATGTTCTACAGGTGGCGCCCTACACCACCTGCCTGATTAACGGTGTTTACTGGGACCCCCACACCCCCCGCCTCCTCAGAAGAATCGATGCCCAGAAGTTGATCAAACCTCTGAAGAAGTCGCCTCTGGCCACAGAGGGAGCTCCACACCTGCCGCACAAGTACGTTTAGCCGACATTGCTAATTTCCAGCTGTTGTCCGCGGCCAGATGATAATAGACACCTTTTTAAAATCACAACACATCAACAGCATTAGTTATAAAGAAAGGATGAAGTAGATAGAGACGAAAGTTACTACATACATGTCACATATAGCACAACAGAAACGAGGGGTCCATGAAACACACGCCATATCCAACACAGACGAGTGTGTGCAGGTAGTCAGTGAACCCTGAGCTGTAAAGGTGGTAAGAGCATCCTTTTATTCTGAAAATCACCTCCTGTGTTTGAAAAGATTCACCTGGAGAAACCCTTCATATCTTTCACTGAAGCTTCGCCTCTTGTTTGTCATTTAGTCTGTTTGCCTTCATTGAGTCAGAGATAAGAGGTTCGTCTCATTTTAATCTGTCATGTGCAAACACAAGCGAGATAACAGGAGCTACTGTGGACGGATACACCATCATAAACCCCTGGATGATTCATAACGATAGCTAACGATTAACCCAACCTAATTAATAAGTTATTTCCACCTGGCTTCTGACACTGTTAATGCTCTCCTGCTGATGTTCAGGTTCATATCAGTATGTAGTGTCTCTACTTTAAAGAGTCCTCTCCTGCTGATGTTCAGGTGTATATCAGTATGTAGAGTCTCTACTTTAAAGAGTCCTCTCTTGCTGATGTTCAGGTGTATATCAGTATGTAGTGTCTCTACTTTAAAGAGTCCTCTCCTGCTGATGTTCAGGTGTATATCAGTATGTAGTGTCTCTACTTTAAAGAGTCCTCTCCTGCTGATGTTCAGGTGTATATCAGTATGTAGTGTCTCTACTTTAAAGAGTCCTCTCCTGCTGATGTTCAGGTGTATATCAGTATGTAGAGTCTCTACTTTAAAGAGTCCTCTCTTGCTGATGTTCAGGTGTATATCAGTATGTAGTGTCTCTACTTTAAAGAGTCCTCTCCTGCTGATGTTCAGGTGTATATCAGTATGTAGAGTCTCTACTTTAAAGAGTCCTCTCTTGCTGATGTTCAGGTGTATATCAGTATGTAGAGTCTCTACTTTAAAGAGTCCTCTCTTGCTGATGTTCAGGTGTATATCAGTATGTAGTGTCTCTACTTTAAAGAGTCCTCTCCTGCTGATGTTCAGGTGTATATCAGTATGTAGTGTCTCTACTTTAAAGAGTCCTCTCCTGCTGATGTTCAGGTGTATATCAGTATGTAGTGTCTCTACTTTAAAGAGTCCTCTCCTGCTGATGTTCAGGTTCATATCAGTATGTAGTGTCTCTACTTTAAAGAGTCCTCTCCTGCTGATGTTCAGGTTCATATCAGTATGTAGTGTCTCTACTTTAAAGAGTCCTCTCCTGCTGATGTTCAGGTGTATATCAGTATGTAGAGTCTCTACTTTAAAGAGTCCTCTCCTGCTGATGTTCAGGTGTATATCAGTATGTAGTGTCTCTACTTTAAAGAGTCCTCTCCTGCTGATGTTCAGGTTCATATCAGTATGTAGTGTCTCTACTTTAAAGAGTCCTCTCCTGCTGGTGTTCAGGTGTATATCAGTATGTAGAGTCTCTACTTTAAAGAGTCCTCTCTTGCTGATGTTCAGGTGTATATCAGTATGTAGTGTCTCTACTTTAAAGAGTCCTCTCCTGCTGATGTTCAGGTTCATATCAGTATGTAGTGTCTCTACTTTAAAGAGTCCTCTCCTGCTGGTGTTCAGGTGTATATCAGTATGTAGAGTCTCTACTTTAAAGAGTCCTCTCCTGCTGATGTTCAGGTGTATATCAGTATGTAGTGACTCTACTTTAAAGAGTCCTCTCTTGCTGATGTTCAGGTGTATATCAGTATGTAGTGTCTCTACTTTAAAGAGTCCTCTCCTGCTGATGTTCAGGTTCATATCAGTATGTAGAGTCTCTACTTTAAAGAGTCCTCTCCTGCTGATGTTCAGGTGTATATCAGTATGTAGTGACTCTACTTTAAAGAGTCCTCTCTTGCTGATGTTCAGGTGTATATCAGTATGTAGTGTCTCTACTTTAAAGAGTCCTCTCCTGCTGATGTTCAGGTGTATATCAGTATGTAGTGTCTCTACTTTAAAGAGTCCTCTCCTGCTGATGTTCAGGTGTATATCAGTATGTAGTGTCTCTACTTTAAAGAGTCCTCTCCTGCTGGTGTTCAGGTGTATATCAGTATGTAGTGTCCAGGGTTCGTACGGGTGCTTGAAATCCTTGAAAATGCTTGAAATTTGACGTGGTGTTTTCAAGGTTGGGAAAGTGCTTGAATTTTGGGAATGGTGCTTGAAATTGAGATAAAGTGCTTGAAAATGTAAATGCTTTACTTTTACAATAAATTGCTGTCTGACTGAATAGTTCGCTTTTTAGATTAAAAGAAAATAATTGCTTCGCTTCTAAAACAGCTCCGCTGCACCTTCCCGCGCTATGCGCGCGACCTGCAAGTGCGTGCGTTGACGCTTGGAAGTGGGCGTATCTGAAGCTTGGGGATTTTTTGCGAGCAACGCGACCAACAACCAATCACATGAATCTCCCGCCCCCGACATACAAAGCAATAGCAAAGTTAAAACGAAGTAAACTGGATATAAAATCCCCAAACAGGCGAAAACCTACCAGTTTCACCCACTGTCTCTGCCTCCTCCCTCCATGCCTCGCTCCTCCGGTTTGTATCCCGGTAGATCAACAGAGACTGATCATACAGCACCGGGTGATTCACTACCGCTATAATGAATTTTCCCTCCATTTTTTGGAATATGAGGAAATGACCTGCGTAGTCTCTCCCAGCATACACGCGGTTTGATTGGCTAGCGATTGTACTGGCACATTTGAATAAACGGGATTTCATTGGCTGACGCCTCCGTCGAGGCGTCAAAAGTTGAACATTGCTCAACTTTTGACGCCAGCTACGCCAGCAACGCTCCACGTCGCTTCCCAAAATGCAGTTCGGCTAAAAGTGACGTCACCCCATTCAAAGTGAATGGGCAGAAGCGTTGGAAGCTTCAACGCACGCCGCTGTGTGGACGGGCCGTTACGTGTGACCTGGGCATTCTGATGAGTGATAGATGACTGTGTGCCAGGAGGTTGCAGTTTCAACGAGCGTTGGCTAGCAGAAGACAAATACAAGCCATGGCTAAGACGAGGGTCAAGCCCACGAGTAGCCTCCTGCAACGTTTGCAAAAATAACGATGCGAGAGTCTGCGCTGACGAGCCACATGAAAGGTACGCCGGAGTAGAGCATTTTAGATTAGGCTAACGTGGCATGTTACGTTTGTTTAAGCTAACGTTAGCTAGCTGAATAGCGAACTCGATGAGGGATAATAATAATTGCAGGGGACAATCATTTCAGAGGAGCGTACCTATGTTAATATGTGCGTTACAGTCGCCATCGTGTGGTGTTCAGAGGATGAAGCACTCACGGCATTTTGTGTTATAGTCACGAAATATAATCTCTTGATTCGACACAGAGCGATTCTGAAAGCAATGTATTTCTACTGGTAGTATGTTTCGTGTCTAACCAAATGTGACTTGCTCTATCGAAATCAGCCACATTGACCCGAAGACACATCTTCGTTTGTATTACTGGTCTGGGGGAAGCTCGCGAGTGTGTGTGTGTGTGTGTGTATTTTTGCGTTTGTGTACCGGGGAAACACTCACAAGAAACACCGGCTGTTGTTACGCCTGCTGTGAAGTTAAGTTACTCAGTTCTCCGCTTGTAATTATGCCGAAGCTTCAAAGCTGTATTTATCATCTGAATTTGCCGAAACAAGTTTAATATTCTGAAAGCCAAGACTTTGTTTATTTGAAAACAGATGAAAACAAACTGTCTTTTATATAAAATTGAAGTATTATACAAGTAAAACTACATGTTGCTTTAATCCCATGTAATGGTAGAATGAACACAGTCTTCCTTTGAAGAAGTATAAGTCAGGTTCTTGAGTAGTCAGCATTACCTACAAATCATTGTTCACATTTGTAAATATTATTTTCCACTTGTTACCATTGTGAGTCTATTTCTATGCAGCTCTGCGTGATTTTGTGGCTACAATTCAGACTAATACGCTACCAGAGGTGGAATAAGTACTCAGGTATTGTACTTGAGTAAAAGTAGAAGTACTCAGATCTTGTAGTGAAATTATAAGTACTCAGATCTTGTACTTAGCAAAAGTAGAAGTACCAGAGTGTAGGAATACTCTGTTTCAGTAAAAGTCCTGCATTCAAAATGTTCCTCAAGTGAAAGTAGAAAAGTATTCTCATCAAAATATAGTGAAAGTGAAAGTAGTCGTTGTGCAGATTGGTCCATTTCAGAATAATATATATGATATGTTTTATAATGATTGATCATGAAAGTGTTCTCAAAGCTGGTAAAGGTGCAGCTAGTTTGAATGACTTTGTATACTGCAGGGTAGCTTGTGGATTTACTCCAGGTGGAACTAAAGTCTGATTCAACACTTGGTTATATTTCACATCATTCATCCACATCTGTGAAGTAACTAAAGGTATTAATACATGTAGTGGAGTAGAAGTACACCATGTACCTCTGAACTGTAGAGGAGTAGAAGTACACCCTGTACGGTACATGGTGTACTTCTACTCCACTACAGTTCAGAGGTACATGGTGTACTTCTACTCCACTACAGTTCAGAAGTACATCATGTACCTCTGAACTGTAGTGGAGTAGAAGTACACCATGTACTTCTGACTTGTGTTTACTGCCAACCTAAAAGTACCTCAAAAATAGTAATCAATAATGTATTGAAAAGTTATTTGGCTGATTGTTTTATATTGGCTCAGACAGGTTATATGGGACATACAGATGGGTCACTCATTTTGAAATATTAAACTTAGTTTTCTTTTCTTTAATTTTTCATCCTCGTGTAGAAGGCTATCACGAAACACACATTTGGTTGTTTATAGCATAAAGAACATCTGATTTAATGTGAGGTAGGGAAATAATCATTTGAGTATGTGTATATAAATATGTAATTTACAACAGCTGTAAGATGCTTGAAAAGCTGGAAAATGCACCTTGAAAATGCTTGAAAAGTGCTTGAATTTGACTTTGGAAAAGGTGTAAGAACCCTGCATGTCCTTAATCTCTCTCTAAATGTTACTGACAGCTGAATGTGTGCTTCAGTGAAAGCACGCAGTGTATAGCTGCTGTATCTCCACAGAGGTCAGAGGTCACCTCCCTATCTGGGCTCCTGTGTACACGTTGACAGTTCAGCGTGTCGCTCAGACCTCCTGAAAACATTTCCTCTCTCTTTCTGCAGACTTCTGGCCATCTGCGATATCTCCGCTGACACCGGGGGATCCATAGGCTTCATGAGCGAGTGCACCACCATCGATAAACCCTTCTGTATGTACGACGCCGACCAGCACGTGGACCACGACAGGTAATCTGATCCCACCTGTAACACCTCTCGCTGAGCTGATCTGCTGTCAGTCTGAATAAAAGGAAAACATTTTATTAAAGAGGTGAAAGTGAGAAAAAAGGAAGTTATGGTAAAATATATATATTTTTTAAAAGGTAATCTGATCCCACCTCTCACTCTCACTCATAAATACAAATAAATTAAAGTAAAAGAATAAATTAAAAAGAATAATATTGTTTGTATAAACATACAGTATAAGTGAAATTTAAGAAAAACGATAAAATGGATTACAGAGGAATAATTATATTCACATTAACATAGGAGGTAATAATATAGTATAAATAAATATATAGAAAATAAAAATATATATTTAAAAACAAAGATCAAATAAGTTTAATATTAACACAGCTTGTCAGGTAAAATATCCGATAAAGAAAAGAAAAGAAAATATAAATATTTATATAAACACATAAAATAACATAAATCGATATAAAAAATGTATTTATATTAAGATCAAATTAAAATAGATGTTGATGTATAAAAGTGGATTTTGCATAATAGGTGACCTTTAATGCTGGCAGTTTTAAAGGGTATTGTGATTCGACGGCACAGTTTTAAAGATTCTTGTCCCGCAGTGTGGAGGGTAACGGGATCCTGATGTGCTCCATCGATAACCTCCCCGCTCAGCTTCCCATCGGAGCCACGGATTATTTCGGAGACCGGCTCTTCCCGTACCTCTGGGAGATGGTAAGGTGTTCTGGGGTTGCAGTCGAATTGTCCAAAAATCAGCTCCTATCGTCTTTTCCTATCCACTAGTCCTTGACCTCTGTGTGAAACGTCACGGGGTTAAGGGATAGTGGATAGGAGAATTCAAAAGGACTTAGGAGAAGAGACTGCGGTGCTTTGAGAATCCGAATGCACTTTCACTATCTGACGTGTTTATGATGCGCCAGCGGACGTCCTGAATGAGCGTCTGCTGCTGTGGGGAAACCATGGAAACTACAGTTCTCTATACAGCGGACTACAACATGGATGTTCAATAAGAACGAGGGACTCCTGTAAACTCATCTAGAGACTCTGCACCGTGCTCTGACGCTGTTGCTTTATGCTTTATGCTATAAAGGAAGTTTGAAACCTCCTTTCCTTTCATCTAGAGAATTCAAACGGCTCTTATCATGGCTGCCACTGAGGGACTTCCGGGTCATTTCACTCCGTTAGGAAGGTTCCTAAGCTAAAGTGACTATTCGACCCTTAACCTGGGTGTTTGGTTTAGGAGGGTAACTGGTTCCTCTGGTTGAGTTTGCTGTGAGAGAGCGCTGCAGCAGGTGTCAGGTCTTTAAAATAGAGACGGTTTAAAGTTAGTGTTGTGTCATCACCAGCTGCCGTCAGACGCCAGCCGCCCGCTGGACGAGGAAGACTTCAGCCCGCAAGTCAGAGACGTAAGTCATGTTTAAATATTTAAATGTATTTCCTACAAAAGCATTTTTTTAAAAATCTGATATTTCTTCATTTAATCAGAAGACATTTCATGACTCAGCAATTTTCTCTCATGATCTCGAGCACATTTTAGTATTGATTTCAATACAGCCAAGAAATATGACTGTATTTTTTTCTTCTTGCCCCATGACCTACCAACTTTATTCATGTTTATGGCAAACGTAGGGTATGTGTACTCTTGTAAAATGACTGAAAATACTAAAATGTTTACTAATATTTGTACGTTATTTCTCTGCTCCTAAAGGCCGTCATCACCTCAAACGGAGTCCTCACCCCAAAGTTTGAATACATCAACAAACTACGAGAGCGGAGGTAAGACTCATCTCTATCTGAAACTGTCAGTATGTACATGGTGTACTTCTACTCCTCTACAGTTCAGAGGTACATGGTGTACTTCTACTCCACTACATGTATTTAATCCCTTTAGTTACTTCACAGATGTGGATGAATGATGTGAAATATAATCAACTCTTAAATCAGACTTTAGTTCCACCTGGAGTAAATCCACCAGCTACCCTGCAGTATACAAAGTACTTCAAACTAGCTGCACCTTCACCAGCTTTGAGAACACTTTCATGATCAATCATTATAAAACATATCATATATATTATTCTGAAATGGACCAATCTGCACGACGACTACTTTTACTGTCTTTCACTATATTTTGATGATAATACTTTTCTACTTTTACTTGAGGAACATTTTGAATGCAGGACTTTCACTGTAACAGAGTATTCCTACACTCTGGTACTTCTACTTTTACTCAAGTACAAGATCTGAGTACTTCTACTTTTACTCAAGTACAAGATCTGAGTACTTCTACTTTTACTCAAGTACAAGATCTGAGTACTTCTACTTTTACTCAAGTACAATATCTGAGTACTTCTACTTTTACTCAAGTACAACATCTGAGTACTTCTACTTTTACTCAAGTACACGATCTGAGTACTTCTACTTTTACTACAAGATCTGAGTACTTCTACTTTTACTCAAGTACAAGATCTGAGTACTTCTACTTTTACTCAAGTACAACATCTGAGTACTTCTACTTTTACTAAAGTACAAGATCTAAGTACTTCTCCCTTCTCTGTTTTCACTGTATTTCCAAATGACTGCTCTTTTGAGTTAATGCCACCATTTTATGGATGAAATGTGTTCAGACTGAAAGAAAGGTAAAGACATGTCCGTGTTCTAATGTAGCCATCTTGCTAAAGCTAAGTAATGTTTCTGCTTGGAGTCTCTCTGCTGTTCTTCCTCTCTGACTAACCTTCTCTAGCGTTGCAGTTGCTGATGTTTTAGCGTCCTGCAGCCTCTGGTGCCGCTCTGCTAACCTGCCTCTGAACTAACACCTTGCATTACTCGCGTGCTAATGCTAACCAACGTGCTAATGCTAACCAACGTGCTAATGCTAACCAACGGCAGGCGCTGGACCCTTTGCTAACGAGCGGTAGAAACATCTCTTCTTCTCACAAAACTGTCTGTCTCCATCGGTCTTGTTAGCAGACCCTTCACGCGATGGCAGAGCGAACAGGTACAGGCAGGGCCCATAATGATAGCCCTATAGTTTAAATCTACTACCCACACATGAACATATGGAAATGGGTTGCTATTTTAAAAAATAAATGTATTTATCAATGTATTTAGGAACCTATCCATGTGATTTTTAGTGGGGGTCGACCTCAAATCCTCTAGGGGGGGTCCAGGGGCATGCCCCCCCCGGTAAGATTTAATTTTTTATTTTGGAGTTAAATGCATCAATCTGGTGCATTTTGAGGGGAAAATAAAGAGACTAGATCTATGGAAACACCTATATTAAACAGAACTGTATACATTTCAATAATCATAAAATCATGGCCATAACCAATAACCTACCATTTCCAATATGAAAAAAACACTGAAACTTGTTTATTAATTTATTTTTGGTTCATTTATAGTTGTGAGTGTGTCTGTGCTCCTGAACCAGCCTCTCCTGTCTCCCTCCTCTCCCCCCTCTCCATCCTCTCCCCCTGCTCCTCTTTGAGGCAGCAGCAAAGACTAGTTTTCTCTCAACAAGTTTTAAAAGTGTATCTTACCTTTTTTCACCTAGTTAACTTTTTATTTATTTATTCATGCATATTTTACTAATCACATTACATTTCATTTAGCTGACGCTTTTATGCAAAGCGACTTATAATGACCGATTACAGGGACATTCTCCCTGGAGTAACTAAGGGCTAAGTGCCTTACTCAAGGGCACACTAGTGGTGGTGTTCCTGGCGGGATTTGAACTCACAGCCTTCCGATCTTCAGCCCACCTCACTATCCATTAGACCAATCACTACCCTCTCAAATGGAAATATGTGTTTACATAAATGGTGACCACACCGTTTGAGACCCACTGAGAACTTAGACTAAGTTAACTATCTAAACACTCAGAGAGTGCTTTACCTCACCTGAGCTGAGGTTATCCCGAGCTTGAATGACACACAGAGACCAATCAAGGGCTTTGATTTATGATCTGTATGACAGTGGCCATGTCGGCAGGTCACATCATGTAGACAGCCAGTCCCCCTGTGTGAGGCAGGCCACTTAACAGGCCAGAAGGAGGCGAGATCAGAGCAAGGGAGCGAGGGATCATTGTCTACAAGTTAATCGATCGCAGATGGCGTCATGGTCACGGACGTATAAAAAAAAGAAAGAAAAAAAACCTAAATGGGTCGCGAAATATACTTGGGCGGCCGTTAATATACCTGGGCGGCCCGCCCAAGTATAGTCTATGTGTGGGAAACCCTGCAGTCTGTCTCCATCCGTCTGTCTCCATCCGTCTGTCTCCATCAGTCTGTCTTGTTTCATCTAGTTTGACTCCGATGAGAAGATGAAGATCAGATTGTTTTATGTGCAGTGATTGATCCAAGTTGTGGTTAGCCTAGCTTAGCACAAAGAATGGAAGTGGGGGGAAACTGCTAGCTTCTTTCCATTCAAAGAAAAAACTGGAGTTTCTGACGGTTTGTATGAATTAAGAAGACAACAGTGCGTCCAAGTTTTAGTAAACCGCATTAAAGTCACCATCCTTGGCAGCTAAGTCTATATAAAATCTAACAGTGATACGATTCAGCTTATTAAAGTGTGTAGCATGATACTGCCAATAAATGACAAGATAAGATGGAGCTTTTATTAATCCCTGTAGGGAAGTTCACGTGTCAAGGCAGCAACAGAACAAGATGAAGCACAGATATTACACGTCTAACAGCTTTTCCTTCATCCACACACTCTTGAAAATGTGTTTGTGTCCACTTTAATAGTAGTTGTTGGTATGCCCCAGCTAGCACGGCTGCTACTGTTGTTCCTTTAGCATAGTTAGCTCCGTCTCATTAGCGAGCTCATTTGTGTTTTAGGGTTCGGTTAATCAATCCGAAAACAAATACTGCTCTCCAGGAGACGCTTTATTATTTTAAATAGCTCCTTCCAGGTGGCTATCATTCGTCTTGATGCTAATATTTTACTGGGAATGACTTTTAAAGGCAGCTATAGGCTAGCAGTTTCTCGATGTTTTGTGCTAAGCTAGGCTAGGCTAAACACACAGATGAAACTGATCTTCTCTTTTTACAAAAACTAATAATTCATCTGCATGTCCATCATTTCAAGTGACACCCTCATCAGCCTTCTGTTTCTTAGTAATTTATACATACATTTTAATCTGCTTTAATTAATTTCTCACACACTTCGCTTCCTTTTTACCTCACTGCTGCTCTTAAGACATATTTAAATGAGCTTTATCAAATCTCCTCGGACTCCCTAACCTTTCAAAATGTTTGGTTATACAGATTACTAACTCTCATATTAAATGCAGATTTACTCAGATTTCTCCCTGAGACTCATATTTAGATTAAGGCCACCTCTAAGACGTTTCTCCTCCTAATTGATCTTAAGTATCATTTTTTTCCCAGACAAGCCATGCCACAAATCTTAATCCTCCTGATGAGTTTGGCTCCTTAAGATATGTAAAGTGAGGGCACGTCTTCCTTTTCTTCTTTTTTAATTAAGAAGCCGAGGCTTGGCTGCCTTTCGGACCTCATGTCGGACGTCGTGCCCGTCGCATCCAATTAGCGAACCGCTAACGAGTCGGGGGGGTCCGACTCCTTTTAGCCGGGGGCTAGTGTGTGTTTGGCTGGTGGGATATTAATGCCACAGGTCACGGGGGTTGATGCCGTCATTGTTGTTATATTATTATATGTTATAGAATATGCAGATTAAACTATTCAATAGTATGTAAAGGAGTTGGAATGAGCACTATCTTTAACAGCTGTAAAATGCTGAATTGTCGTCATTTTTCTTTAAATATCCCCCAAAATATGTGAAAAAAGTCCTGGAAAGAAGTTTTTTTTAAATATTTGATAATCATGTGAAAATGATGTGGAAAGTGTGTGGGAAAAAAATCCCTAAATGATTTGAAAAACAGTAAGGAAAAATGGTCAAAACATATTTTTAAAAAGTCATATTTATGTGGAAAATATCAGAATTTAAGTGAAAAATCTCCGAAGGAACGTGCGGGCAATGTCCGGACATTTTTTGAAAGAATACGTCAATAATTTACAAAAAAACAAACATATGATGATCTTTTAGAATATGATGTGTTGCCGGAGAAATGAACAAGCCAGTATGTAAAGAAAGTAGCTTGAGCACCACCCTATACAGCAGTAAAATGTAAAACAAATGTGAAAAATATCCACAAAAAAGTCTTGAAATATTGGCAGCATGTCTGAAAAACTCTCATAATATATGTGGGAAAAAAATCCGTTAATTATGTGTAAAAGTCTAATTAATGCCACAGGGGTTGATGCCGTCATTATGGTGTCATTGTTGTCATGGTGTTCGGATAATCCAGCATGCAGAATCACAGACTTTTTAAAGTGAGTCCGGTTGTTTGGAGAAAACGTCTGGATGTAATTAAAAGACGGCGGTAATTTTAACCTCACTGAGCTCGGGATATTTAATCGTTAGTTTGACATTGGAAGACAGGCAAGCTTCAGGTTTATATATAAATAAAATACAGAAAATATACCCTTTAGAGTTCTTTGTAAACACAAATCTAACATGGAGGGTGTGGGGGAAACTTCTGAAGCAATTGGAGTCAGGACTCAGAGACACGATGGAGAGCAAACACTGACGGTTTATTCTGAGCTTCGGCCGGAGAATTCACGAGACATGTCACGGGCCACGAGTTGACCACACGGTAGAGATGCCACATCAATTCTGAAGAAACCTTCCTCTCGTATGATGTTTTAACTCCGCTAAGGGTAATCAACATTCTTCATTAGATGGACTAAACAGCT